TGGGGACACTGAGTCCTGAGGAAGGGAAATGACTTGCCCTAGGGTCCCAGAGCTAATTAGTGGCAGAGGGAGCATTAGAGCCCTGGGTAATGGTCGGGCAAGAGTGTCCTTATTTTGCAGCAGCTTGGACTCTCTAAAGAGTCAGAACCAATGACCCTTTGCAGGAAACTGTGAGCTCCATGGGAGCAGGTGTGGGATCTGAGTACATGTGGTACAACCCGTTCTTTCCTAACATGGGTACTCAAAGGCATAGCGGCCCAAGCAGGCTGAACCAGGGTTCATGCTGACACTGCACATCTGTGTGGCCTTCCAGTGGGATGGACACATTAGCCTGAGAGCAGCCTAAAAGGGGGTCTTTCTCAGGCCTCCAGGGAGTTTCTGAGCCTTCCCTCCAAAGGCATGGCTGAATAAGAGGTTGATGCTTTGCCTGTTAAAATGGACAAGTAGCAAGGTCAGCTGATAGACTGGGCTAGAATGAACAGTACTCAAGCACCGGCCTTGGTAAAGCTCATCAGGTGGAGTGGCCACCTTCTTCATGGCTAGGAGATGACCAGGAAAGCCTTAAATTCTTGGACTGTCACCTTTGCCTGGAAAGGAGCTGTGAGCATTTGGATTCCAAAGTTTCTGTTCCTATGTACTGAGTTACCAGGGAGAGAAAGCGCAGGGACTTGTCTGTGTGTCAGGATATAAGTGTAGGAGGCATAGACCAGAGTAGTCGATAGTGTGTGGGGCTTGATGTCCACAAGGCCTGGGTTTAAATCTTGCCTTGTGTGACCCTAAGCAAGTCACTTCATCTCTCTGTCTCAGTTTTCTTATCTGTAAAATGGGGATAGTAATGGCCACAGTACTTGCCTGACAGGGTTGTTGTAAAGATCAAAGAGAATGATGGACACTGAGCACCCTGCAAACCTTCAAGTTTGCTGGCTGTGATGCTAACGATGGTCATGTTGGTTAGTGATATAGCAAAGTATCCAGAAGGAAGGAAGGAGCCTCTCTTCTCTTGTCTTACTGTGTGCCCTTGGTCACAGGATACTGCTTCTTCAGCCCCAGAACTAACATGGGAGAAGTGGGCCTTTGTTCCAGGGTGCTGACATGTGCAAGGGGATGCTTCCGCCCTACAGCACCCACCACTCTGGTGCCTTACCTCAGTGTTCTGGAGGCAGAAGGTGCAATTGCCTCCAGAACTCTCTGGGGATAGGCCCTCCCTCCCTCCTGGCATGACTGCACACACGATGGGACGGTCCCTTGGTAGCACCAGGCCTCGGTCTGTACTGTCCTCTGCACCACGACAACCCCTCCCACCAACTTGCACCAGGTTTGGGCTAATTTATGACTTTGCTTTTCTCCGATTGTCAAGTGAATAGAATATCAGTGCTGGAAGGGCCCTTAGAAATAATACGTTCTAACCCTTCCATTTTCTAGAGGAGGAGACTGAGGCCCAGAGAGGAGGAGTTACTTGACCAAGGTCACATATCTAGTTGTTAACAGAGCCAAGGAGGAAAGTCCAAGTTTTCTGACTCATCATTTTGTGCCTATACCACTGCCCCCATACTCCCTTTCCACAGAAATCATTACAAATGAACTCCCCTAAAAAAGCAAAAACAATGTCCTTCCCCTTGAGTTCCCTAGTGGCCCAAGGAGAAAGGCAACCGCCAAGGGGCTATTCCAAGCAGGTCCCATTATGATGCAGGGTTGACTTGGACCTTGGTGAAAGGCCTTGTAGAGGTCATCATCACCACCTCAAGTCCTTGCTGGTTTTCTAAGGCTACTTACGCTCTGGCTTCTTCTCAGCTTGGCATCTCATAGTGACAGAAATAACCAACCCCGACAATGGGAGGGGGAGAGAACAGAATAACAGCAGGCCCTGTCCTGCAGGGCCTCACGAGCTCTGGCCCCAAGGTGTCCAGAGCTCTCCTCCTCCATTCTGGTGCTCCACCTGCCTTCTTAGCATCCTATAGCCACAGCTTTGCTGTTTTAATAACAACCTCGTCAGCGAGTGCAGACAGATGGGTCTGCCGGCCACCAGTTGCTTGCAGTCTGGCTGATGTCATGTCTAAACTCAAGGACTCTCCGAATTCCCTGGCCACCACTGCTGCTAAGCAGAAGCTAAAAGCTTCAGAACTAGGTCATTGGGCTTGTATTCAAAAGCCAAGAGCTCAATGACTTCCTGACTCTGGCAAGAAGGGACACACAGGGGTAAGGACCAAGCCTGGGGCCCAGTATGCAAGGAGGAAATGACCCCTCTGCTGAAGGTTCATACAGGTAGCTAAAAGGACAGGCTCTTAGGAGGCACCCCTTGTGACCTCCTGCTGCATTTAGGAATCTCCTGGAGAATCTCCCCTAACAGATAGGGATTCAAGCCTCCACTTGAATACCTCTAGGCATGGGTACCTCACTATTTCATGAGGAGCAACTCATTCCCATCTTAGATAGTTTATCATGGACACTTTCTCCTACAACCAAGCCCAAGTCAGTTTCCCTAGAGATTCCACCCACCGGCCCTCATTCTGCCCTCTAAAGCCATAGAGATAAGTCTAATCCTTTTTTTCCAAAAGGGCCCTTCAGATACTTGAAGGTAACTTTCTCATCCTTCAAAGGCTTATCTTTGCCAGACTACACAGCCCTACCTCCTCCAACTATTTCTCCTGTGCCCTGGTTCTCAGAGCCACTTTTCTCTGAACATGCTCTAGCTTGTCAGTGCCTCTCTCCATGTGTGATGGCTGGAACTGCAGCCCATAAAGGACTCTGGGTCTGGGAGCTGAAAGTGACATCTTCCTGGGCTCCATGAAGCTCCGAGAGGCGGTGACTCTTCAAGCAAGTTTTGCCTTCATCTGATCCTGAATCACGTACAAAGATATATCTGAACAGATGTTGTGTTACAGAGGTAGCTACTCTGAGCACGTATAATAAATGTTGCCTTGCCCATGAAATGAGGCATGGAGGACAGAGCCTGGTGTCATGAACTCCTACCTTCTTCCAGATTGCTGAAAGAATTCCAAACACTCTGTGGAGCTCAATTGTTGTTTCACCTTAATCTCATCTCATCTCTACTGGCCCCAATTATATTCATGAGAAAACCTGGCTTCTCGTCTCCCCCTACACATAGAGGTTAGAAAAGGAACGTGAAGTTTTGAAGGCACTGTGTCTACTCTGGATTTTAAAGGGCCTAGGCTCCATGAATGTATGTTAACATCAACTTCAAATATTATCCCTTAGATATATAAGTCATTTATTAATACATTTCTAATATGGGAAAAAATACAATTTTGGCTTCAAAACCTTCCACAGGCAAGAACGTTGGGAGAAATAGGACAGTACTCATTGGAGGATGTGGACCTCAGTTAGATTATGAGCAGGTGCTTGGGAAGTGAGTGACAACACAAGCTGGTCCTCTTTTCAGTGCTCATGGCTTCCATGGGCAGTCCCTAATGTCTAGGTGTTGAGATCTTCTTTGGACATATGGCCTTAGCCCTCTAAGACCTCTGCGAGCATCTCAAATGGAAAGCTGGTGTGGGCCTCACTGGGCTTTCTGTAAAATGTTCCCAATCCCCAAAGTATTTTCTGGTCATTTTAGTTACTAGTGACCAGTTCAAAGCCTGTACCTTAATTCCAAGCTATGGTCCCAGGCCAGAGTCATTGGAGTTGATGCTTTTGAACACTCATATTTGGGGAGTGCTGGAGCTGGAAGGGATCTAAGTGATCTTCTGGTCCAACTACTTCCTGCAGGTATAGATTTGGGGAAATTGGGCAAGTCTCTGCTTCTCTGTGCTTCAAAGTCACTCAATGAGTTAGTGGCAGAAGAGGGACTGAGACTCTGGACTCCACACTCCCAGGCCAGCACCTCTTGTTATTCTGATCTTGGACCACCCACCATTAACAGTGGCCTAGGAGCATCTGGGTCCTCTCCTTATTCTTCTGCTCTCTTCTAAGCCAAACTTTCCTGTATCGATTTTTCTTCCTTCCCCTAAGAAGACTCTTGAGCACAAACTAATAAATGTGCTCATTGAGTAGGTGACATAACAGGGAACAAGCTTAGCCATTCAATTTTAATAGGTTTCAATTCTACTGCTGTGTTTCAAATTGTACTCTGAGCTTGTGTCTTCAAGGCATCAAAACCACCGATGGAAAAATAAGCTATTCAGGGAGATGACTGATTTTTTATCTACATGATGCCAAATGGACCTGACAGAATCTCTGAACCTCAGTCAGGCAGTTGTTCTATCTTTACAACTTATTGCACGAACATGATAAGGTTAGATTCCAACCAGTCCTGCTCCTCAGCTTGCCACACGGACATGAGCTTCAGACTATGTATCAATCTTTCAGGAATAGGGCTACTTCTGCTTGCTTGACCTGTGCAAGATGAGAACTGCCACATGGCCACATGAGATTGCCGAGATTCCCAATATGGCAGTTCTCCAGAAATATGACCTACTTGGAAGAGAGGCCACTCAATATGGTCGAGTGAGACTGCTCATATGTCATGAATCAAGACTTGTACGATACTAGAGGGAATTTTCTGTGGCTAGCTCGGTGGTGTGAGATATGCCAACGGCCATCCCATTACATGATGTAGAAATTCCTAAAAGGATGGGAAGGTGGTCTACCCTCAGTCATGGGAAATGTTAGTGATAAGATACTCCATACACAACAGACCTCAGAGCAGTCTAGGAGGTAGACTACATCATATGCAAAACCAAAGCAAAAACAGTACTCATGGGGCACCTAGGTGGCACAGTGTATAGAACACTGACCCTGAAGTCAGGAGGACCTGAATTCAAATCTGGCCTCAGACCAAACATTTGACACTGGCTGTGTGACCCTGGGAAAGTCACTTAACCCCTCCTGGGCTCCTGTCCAGGACTCTTTCTACTATACCGCTCTGCCTCCTGGGTCCCTATGGTGAGGTAGCCCATCTTTCTGTCTTGGCCTTCTCTCCTCATTCCGCCCACTCTGCCATGCAGGGGAATCTAATGAGCCTTTCCCTTCCTTTGTGCTAGGAATACACGATTGACATTTTCTTTGCCCAGAGCTGGTATGACCGCCGCCTCCGCTTCAACAGCACCCTGAAAGCCCTAACTCTAAACAGTAACATGGTAAGCCGCATCTGGATCCCCGACACTTTTTTCCGGAACTCTAAGAGGGCTGACTCACACTGGATCACTACCCCCAATCAGCTGCTGCGCATCTGGAATGACGGGAAGGTTCTCTACACCCTTAGGTACGTGGCACATCGGAGGATTCGGGGACCAGGACTTGCCACCAGACAAAAGTTCAGAGTGCTTGGTTTGCCCACCTGACCGGGCCCCTTCTCGTCAATGTGCAGGGGGACCTGGCCTTGGCATTCTTTCCTAGTGGGAGTGGGGCCAAGGAGCTGGCCAGCCCAGGGTCATGACCCCGAGTGGGGACTCTGGCTCTGGTGGTCAGGGAGGGCCCTAGAAGTATGGAGTGGGGGAAATAATAGAATCTGGGAGGGAGGAATCTTAGAGACATCTAGTTCAATCCTCTCCCGTTATAGAGGAGGAAATGGATGCCTGGACAAGGGAAATCACTTGCCTAAACTCACCCAGGTGACCTTACACAGGTCGTAAGTGGCCAAACCTGGATCTGGATCCTGTTTCTCTGCCTCCTAACCCAGTACTCTTTCCAACCCAGTCAGAGGTCTAAGCCATTGTGTGGATGATAAGGGGCACTGGGTGATTGCTGAGATCCTTTCCAGCTAGAAGCCTATGAGGCCATGATGCTGGCTAGCGAGAGGGGTGAATCCTCCATCTCACAAGGCACCTCTGTCTCTCTCTCTCTCCCCTTTCCAGGCTGACCATAGAGGCTGAATGTCTCCTCCAACTCCAGAACTTCCCAATGGACACTCACTCCTGCCCTCTCATCTTCTCTAGCTGTAAGTACCTGCTGTGGAGGTTCCCAGATTCTTTTTCTCTTCCTCCCCTTCCCCCCTCACCTAGCTTGGCCCTCCTTCCTTCTTACTGATTCCTGAGTCCCTGGGCTTGAGAGCTTTCCCATTCATTAGAATTCCTGTTGAGTCATTCTGTCAGCACCAGCCTCCTCCCCCTGTGCAGAGCACAGCACCGGGACCCTTCTTCCCAAGCCCTTTGGTGCTTTATCTCATAGACTGAACAGACCTCAATGGAGGAAGACCAGCAATTCCCCTCCGAATGATCCTGTCTGACTCAGCTACTGGGGGCTAGTGCCTCTAGAAAACCAGTTACCAAAGTAGTGGTGGTGAAGGGGGCAGTCTCAGAGGTGGAATAAGCTCACTTGGCAGGCCACAGATTCAGTGATGATGATGACGGGGCATTTCTCAGGCCTTCAGTGATTTTCTAATGAGGCCTGTTTCACATCCAGCAATCGATCCCTGTGTATTTGATACCCATCACTTTAGGGTGATGGCAGGCTGATCGAACTCAAACTTCAGAGATGGTAGAGAGAACTGAACAGCTAGAGACAGGCAACAAATATTGCTTGGGTACCTACTCAGTTATTAGACTCTGCTCACTACTGTGGGGACTCCTCAGACAAGAAAGATATGCCATCTGCCCTTGGGGAATGGGCATTTAGCTGATAAGACAGAGATTAATGCATAGGAAAAATTGAATAAACACAAAATATGAGAGAGAAGAGAGGAGAGGGGAGGGGAGGGGAGTATATCAGAGCTGGATATGACCTTCGAGGTCATCTAGTCCAACTCTCCAATTTTACAGAGGGGGAAACAAATGCCCAGAGAAGCTCAGTTTCTTTCCCAAGGTCCCATGGGTGGTAAGTAGCAGTGTCAAGATTCAGACTCAGGTCCTTGACCTCTACACTAGGCATTCTCACATAGTACAAGAGGAGGAAGCAGGGAGCAGCGGTGAATATTTCCTTGGGTGCCAAGGAAATGGTACAGCTAGTGAATATAAGAGGAGCAAGGGAGAGAACACTGGACCCTGGCTGGGGAAGGCTTCATGGATAGGTTGAGACTTCTCCATTAGGTTGAAAAGGATGGTTTGAAAAATGACCAGGCCAGTGGGGTTTCCAGATGCCCAATTTAGAAGTGGTAGTGGGGGAGTTGGGGATAGGCTTCTATGTCTTTTCCCAAATTGGTTGTTACCCACTGATAGGAGTACCTGTAGTATTCACTTCCATGACAAGCCTGGGTCTAGGCTTGGGACTAATCCAATCTGTTTGGAAGGGGAGGGGAGGAGAAATGGCAGGACTCCAAAACTGAGCCCTTGGGGCTCGATCAGGATGACAACTGTCACAGCAGTTTGGCCCTTTGTGAGGCCAGGACCTAGGGAAGGAGTAGCCAAACTTGACTGTTCCTACTACCATGGTTTATCTTGAAGTTGCTGCAGTGACCCCCCCCCCCCCCACACACACATTGTCCAGAGTTCCCCTGGGGGTGTTTTGGATGAAAGTTACCAAAAGGAAAGCAAAGTGAGTCTGAGAGTAACCAAGAGAGCTCACTAGACAGAGAAGGTCCAGCAGTGGGATAATAGAAGGCAAATCCCAATGACAGAGAGAAGCCCTGGGCCACCTATTGAATTTGAAGGATAGCCTGAATTTTACTGGGCTCAGCTCTTCCACTTCACTCTTGGTTAAATGATCTTAAAAATCCAACTTCCAAGTTGGGGGGGTTAGGGAGCAGTGCCCTAATTTTAAGCCAAAAGGGTTGTGGAATCATGCAAAGGGCAATGATGTGGAGTTAGAGGACCTCAGTACAAGTCCTAATTCAGCCCCAGGGTCAGAAGGTGAGTAAGTGGCAGTCACTTAACCATGTGAGCCTTGGTTTCCTTTTCTATAAAATGGAGCCTTGCACGTACTATAAAATGCTCTACAAGCAGAGGCCAGCACCATGACTTATTCTCAAGACAATGGCAGAAAGCCTCTGGGATGTTTGGAAAATGGAGGGTCTCTCCTGGGCCATGCCAGGTGTTTCAAATACACATGACAGCTCTAACTTGGGTTACTAGACTACAGAGGGCCAGACAACTAATCAGGCTTCATTCAAACAAGCCTGTCGGGGTATGGCCTTAGCATATCTCCGGGCTCTCCCATTTTCCAGATGGTTATCCAGCCGAAGAGATCGTTTACCGTTGGAGGCGCTACTCCATTGAAGTATCTGACCAGCGCTCCTGGAGGCTCTACCAGTTTGACTTTACGGGACTGCGGAACACATCCGAAGTCCTTCGGACTGGTGCTGGTAAGGCCATTTTGTAGATCAAGGTACAGTTGATAGTGGGGAGGAACAAAGCAAGTCAGGGCTAAGAGAGAGGCCAAAGCTGGGCAGTGCCACCCGCCAATGCCCCCCCCAGAAGTGAATTGAAAGGCCTCAGACTAAAAAGCACTTTGATTAAATGAGGGTGGGGGCGAAGGAGAAGGGCAGCATGGGGCACAGTGTGACCTTGAAACAGGAGACCAAGGACCGGACAGATTGTCTTCTATCAGTAGCTCTACACAGACAACTCCCAAGGCTATAGTAGACATCCAACCCTAATTCCTCTTGAGCTCCCATCCTCCATTACCAACTAATTGCCTACTGGACATCTCTACCCAGAATAGTCACATCCTATAGGCATCTTAAACTCAGCATTGAAAATAGAACTCTTTATCTTCTCCTGAAACTCCCCTACTCAAGAGTCATTAATGGCTCTCTATTGCCTCTAGGAGAAAATGTAAAACCTTCATATTTGAGATTTAACATCCTCCACAATTTGACTCCTACCCCACTTTTCCAGTCTAATTTCAAATTACTCTCCTTCATTCACTTTCTATTCTAGGCCAACTAGCCAGCTGCCTGTTCCCCATATGTAACATTCTATTTCCTGCCTCTGTGTGTTTGCACAAGTGGTCCCTCATGTCTCAAGTGCACTCCCTCTTCAATTCTGCCTGGTATAATTCCTGGCTTCCTTTTAGATCATAGCTTAGGTGCTCATGTCTTACATGAGATGATTCTCTCCAATCATTAGCACTCTCTCCCTCTTGGAATTATTTTGTTATATGCTCTGTATTAACTCAATTACAAATGAACATGAGGGGCCCGTCTAGTAAAATGCAAACTCCTTGAGGGCGGGCACTATTTCCTTTATGGCTTTGTACCCCCAGAACCAGTATAATGCTTTGCACATAGTAGGCACTCGATAAATATTTGTTGAATTGAATGCAAAATGATTCAAAGGCATAAGTGAAAACCATTCCTAGCCCTCAAGCTTTCATTCTACTGAGGATGAAAATAATAACAACCCCTACTCTCCTCACTGTTAGGGCATATCAAATATTATGCCTTCTGAGCTTCTTAGCAGCCCTGGGAATGAGCAAGGGCAGCTACCACATAGATTAGGGAACTGATCATTGGAGAAGCTTTGACCAAGTCACTGGGGTTTGCCCTCTAGCAGATGGTTGAGTTAGAATAAGGAAGCAAGCCTCTCGACTCAGTCTAGTGGTAGAGGATAAGGTTGCCTCAGAATCACTTGAAAGTGCAATCAGATAGTGAGATCGCTGATTCATTTAGATGCCCCACATTGTCAGTCAGAGCTGGGACCCAGTCCCTCGACTCGACTACATATTTCACCAAAGCCAAAGGTTTAAGCAAGGCCCAAGTTGAGCATGTTTTTCTCTGACCTTGACTCTCACACCACCCAATAGGACTCCTAGACAGATCAATTGGCAGGTGCAATTGTGTGAATGTGCATTTCAGTCGAAGAAGTGGCCAGATCAGCTCTTTGGGAAGGCTTCTGTCTTAGGAAATGCTGAGCACTGGGCTTTTGTCAGAGCTGGAATGAGCTGGGACCACTCACAAAGGATCTGTGCAGTGGGCTGTGACCAGGGTCACAGACACCTGCCCACTGAACTCCCCCAACTCTTTGATGAATTCTCCATTGAACTGGGTAAAATTGAATTCTCTATAGCCGAAAAAAGCAAACCCATTCCCCCTTTTCTTCCATACAATGGAGGAAAGGAGATTCCTGGGTTCCCAGGTCTGTACTCCCAGCTGGGTGAATACCTTATTATGGGACTTGAAGCCAAGACCATCAATGGACCCTGATATCTCTGTGGGTTGATCCCCAAGGCCTAACTCCGAGTCTGATTCCTTGGTGCCTATTAGGAAAAACAATGTTTTCAGGGGCAGATGGATGGTTCAAGAAAAGCCTGTGCAAATTACATGGGTGATGGTGCATGGTAATGGGAGTTGTGAGAAACAGTAAAAGGCCACCATGACTAGACCATGGAGTATGTGGCAAGGTCTAGAGTGTAATAAGTCTGGAAAGATAGGGTGGGGCAAAGTTGTGAAGAACTTTAAATGACAAACAAAGGCGGTTCCTATTTGATCCTAGAGGTAATAATGAGCCGCTGCAGTTTATTGAGTAAGGGAGTGACACGGTCAGACCTGCATATTAGGAAAATTACCCTGGAAGCCATGTAAAGGATGGATTGAAGTGGCATCAGAAGAGACTTGAAGCAGTGAGACAAAATAGGAGGCTCTTATGGTATGAAAACCTGAATTAGGGTGATGGCAGTGAAAATGGAGAGAAGGGGTCATCAAAGAGAGATGTAATGATAGAAACAAAAAAGGAACTGATTGGATGAGCTGGAAAAATGAACTGATTGGGTATGTGGGGTGAGTGTGAGGAGTCAAGAATGATACTGAGGCTTTAACCTAGGTGATTGAAAGGATGGTGGGCCCCAAATAAAGGAAATGACTTACCCAAGGTTACAGAGTAGCAGAATAGGGATTTGAACCCAGGTATTCTAACTCCAAATCCAACGTTCCTTACACTGCACCACTCTGGGGGAAACATTGACTGAGGAAGGCAAAGATACAAGGGTATCTACCACCAGCAGAAGCCAAGTCTATATTCAGAGTCTGCTAAAAGTCTTAAGGCTAGTTTCTTAATCCAAACTGTAACTGATGAGCTATGGTCCCCAAGCTTTCAGTCAGAACCCTGGTCTGGCAGGAAAGTTTAACATGCTACACATCAGTTCCCAGGAAGCCACACCAGTGAGGCTTCCTGCTGTCTCCACCATTTATGACTTATTCATAGCCACTTGGCTTTTTTGGCCACCCAGGAAGCATAGAGTATATGTACTGAGTTGGTTTCCTTCCCCAGTCCCCAAAGAAGGATTTCCATCTCTCAGCTTTTCTTAGCAAAGGAAAAAAAAAGATTCCTTTCTGGCCCCTGAAGAAACTAAGAATAAATAGAAAAGGTCGATGGGGTAATAAATCTATCTGTAGCAAGAAAATATTAACTTGGCAAAGAAACAGTCCCAAACTGATGAGTTACTAGCTGTGAGAAGATTGCTGTTAAGTTGGGATGCATTAAATTGCATGAACCTCTGATTGAGAGATGAGAACTGGCGAAATTAGAGCAGCTGGTTTGGCCTTGGAGCACCGAAGAGCTACCTCAGAGGCTGCAAATGGAAAGGAAGTACTGGAAACCTGGAGCCCCAAGGACCTCAGACCATAGACACTCCAGGCCAGACTGCCCATAAGCCAGAGAAGAGACAACCAGAAGAGCTCAGCTGGCACCCCTAAGCCATGATACTCAGGCAACACTTTTTTATCTCTAACAAGTTGGGACACCAGGGCATGTGGTCCAAAGAACAGTCCTAACCTTGGTTCTGGGAAAATTTGAGGAGTCTTTCTATGCCCATCTTGGCAACAGTCAGATGATGGTGATGCCTGATGAAAAATCCTGGAATCACAGAATTTTAGAGTTGGAAAGGACCCCAGCAGCCATCCAAGGCACACCCCAAAAAGAATCCCTACTGCAGCCCATCAAAAAGTGGTCATCTCTCCTCAACTTGAAGACATTCAGGGAGGAGAAACCAACCCCTCCCCTCCAAGACAGCTCATTCCACATTGGGACAAGTCTCCTTGTTAGGGAGGGTCTATTTTTCTAGTATATCAAGCCTAAGTTTGCTCCTTGGCAACTTGCAGCCATTGCTCCTGGTTCTGCCCTCTAGAACCAAGCAGAACCTATCTAATCTCTCTTTCACATGACCATCTTTCAAGTTCTTGAGGTCAGACATGATGCTCCAGCAGCAGCAGCTACAGCAGCCTTCTTTTCACCAAATTCAACACCACCATTTCCTTCAAATGATCCCATTATGCATCTTGGTTGCCCTCCTCAGCATATTCTCTGGCTTATCAATGCCTATACTCACATAGCCCCAAACTGAATACCATACTTCAGGTGTAGTTTGACCATGGCAGAAGATTGTGAGACTATTGCCTCTTATTCCTGGATGCTCTGCCTTGCTTACCGTAGCTCAAAATCTCATTGGCCTTTTTGGTCTCCACATCATATTGGATGTCAAGGGTGCAGTTGTCATGTATCTCCTCCAATCAAAGTATAGTCCCACAATGGTGAGGTGGGGGTCAGAGAGACATTCTGGTAAGAACCAACATCCACGTGCAATGCTCTGTGTACTTCTTTACACAATTGGCCTGGCCCTAGCGCCCCTTGGAAGCTCAGACTGGGGCAATTTTTCTGATAATGAGATTATGGTCACCCAAGGAGAAGTGGACTGACTCTTCAGGCTAAAGGTGGAGGAACTGGGGATAACTGATGAAGATCCTCCAAATTTCTCCCTGAGGTTGAATGAATTTGATTCTTTTTCTTTCCTTCATAGAAGGTTGATAATGCACAGACAATTGGAAATCCTTTGAGAGGATCAAGTCCAAACTCTCTGAGCTATGGGCAGGAAACTCTCCTCTCCAGAACAGCCTTTCCTGCTCCAAGTCCCTTTGCCTCCTCTGGGCCTCAACACCTTTCTCTGTAAAAATAAGGAAGTAGAAGTAGATGCTCTTTTGGGTCCCTTCCAGCTCCAAAATTCCAGGGATCTGTGAAACTATGGATCTCGATGCTATGGAATCAATGGTGACTGAAGTCAAGGATCAAGCTGGATTCAGAGCTGCAACTCAAAAACCAGGCATCTGGGACAAATCTTGGGAAAGTGAGGTCTGGTGGCCAAATTTGGCCACAGGTGCAATTGTCCTGGAAGAGCAGGTGACCCCTACTACTGCTGAGCTGCAACTCCACTCATTTCTCCTCCAATAGGGCCCACCTTCCCCTTCAAATCATTGCATGAAGATAGTGGTCTCCAGATAACTTCAGGAAGCAAAGAAGCATAGTCGCCTTCAGATGCTGGTACCTGGGAGAAAGCTCCAGCTTTCACAGCCTGGTTCTGACTCTGATTGCACTGTCTTGAAACCCTCA